CGCCTAAGACCATCCTGCATATCAGATATTTACATTACGATTCATAACAGTAGCAACATTACAGTTATGCAGTAGCAACGAAAATAATTTTATGGTTGGGTCACAACATGAGGAATTGTATTTAAAGGGCCAGAAGGTTGAGAACCACTGGCCTAAACGAAGGCACACTCCCTCTCTGCACTGACCCAAAGCGAGCAGGTGCATCTGTGGGAACTCCCGGACACTGCCACTAAAATCTCTTTCTCTTTGGCTCCACTAAAATCTGTGGCATTCGTCCATCAACTATGCGGTGTGTCACCTCTCACTGGCCCCCGGAGTGACCCTGCAGCTTGGTTTCCGGTGGGCTAGGCCAACAAACCCAGGCTAAGCTCCCCATGTACTTGGAAGTTTCCTGGCTCCGGGCCTCACCAGCTGGCTTCCCTGCTCTCCTCTGTCATCTTGTCATCGCAGGCCCCCGTTTCCTCCCACCCTCCCACCTGGCATCTTCGCTGGGCTCACAGGCCCGGAGCCCAACAAATCTGGCCTGGGCTTTTTAAGAATCCTCTTGCCCGAAGGAAGGAAACAAAGAATGCGCACCAGTGGGGACAGTTCCTCGCAGCTAGTGCACCTCGGTGGAGGAAGGACCGTGCTGGAGGGAGGGGTGTGTGTGCGCTCTTTATTGTTTATGGAGTGGCCCTCTTCCGTTTTTCCAATGGGATCCTAGGATAGAAGTCTGGCACCAGTGTCTTTCATGACATTTCTCCCTCCCTCCCTTGCTGTCATCACTGTTTGTGCCCATGGCTCATCGCCCGACTGGTCTGCGGGCTCCATGAGACCATGCAGAGCCTATATGGCATCACATTGCAACAAAGACCTATGAAGATTAATCCAAGGTCTACTATTATAGCAGACTCCATAGCTTATGGAAATAACATGTTAAGAACCGCTAATATCCATAGAACACATTTGTGAGTTTTTAAATTTACAAATCACTTTCATGTAAATTAGTGCACTTTTATTTACAAAAACCTTGGGAGATTCAAAAAGGTTCTTGTCCAAGATCAACCAATTAGCCAGAATTCAATCTAACGTGGACCAATCCATGTCAGGTTCAGTGCTGTTTTCACAAGGCCTCAGCTGTCTTCTATGCTATCTAGACATCAACCTTTAAAATCCACAAAAGGGATGTAGTTTCAGCCCAAGGTTGTGGAAAATAAGGATATAAAATCTAGAGTGTTTGTTTTTCTAAAAGACTGTCTTTTTAATAGAGAAGCAGTATGAGAATCCATTGCTCTGTGTTGGATTAATAAAGACCTAGTGTAAAAGCCCTAGCTTTGGTCAAGCTAGTGATGTACTGCTTGGTTTTTGTATCCCTACCACAGTCACCATTTATTTATACACATACCGCATTCTAGGGAGAACAGGGATAAGCAGGATTCAGTGCCATTACCTGCCAAAAATTACTGACCATTCGCCCTAAGCGGTTTGGCTCAGTGGCTAGAGCGTCGGCCTGTGGACTGAAGGGTCCCAGGTTTGATTCCGGTCAAGAGCATGTACCTTGGTTGCAGGCACATCCCCAGTAGGGGGTGTGAAGGAGGCAGCTGATTGATGTCTCTCTCTCTTCTTTTTCTCTTTTTCAATATATTTTATTGATCTTTTACAGAGAGGAAGGGAGAGAGATAGAGAGCTAGAAACATGTATTGAGAGAGAAACATCGATCTGCTGCCTCCTGCACATCTCTCACTGGGGATGTGCCCGCAACCCAGGTACATGCTCTCGACCGCAATCGGAACCTGGGACCTTTCAGTCCAAAGGCCGACGCTCTATCCACTGAGCCAAACTGGTTTCGGCATGATGTTTCTCTCTTATCGATGTTTCTAACTCTCTATCCCTCTC